TTTTATTATCATATATAGAATGAAATTTTAATCAGTATTTACAGAAAAATCGACCGTTTAGGCTAGTATAAGAATCTAGCCTGAACTTTAACATTAGGTCAGTAAACAAGCAGAATATAAATAGTTACATGAATGAATATACAAAGTTTATGATTTCTCAGGTGAACTTTAGACAAATTCCATTTCTGTTTCATCTTCGCTTTCAGTTTCGCCTTCTTCACTGAAATCAGTGTTATCTTCACTTTCGGCACTTTCTGTTTCGTCTTGATCATTACTGAAAGAGGAAAATATAGGTTTTTAAATGCTATAACTCTGATATGCTTACTGCGTGGTGATCGCAGACTACCTTTCTTACGAAGGTTTAGTTTTGGTAATCTTTAAAACCTAAGACAATTTCCTATGCATATAAGAATCACTAAGTATTTTAGATAATAATAATACTCACTTTGCCTCTTCCGCAGCTTGCTGTTGGGCTTGTTTTTCCTTTAGCCAATCTTGGCTGATTGCCCATACGGGCGTTCCAGTTGGAGGACCAACATCCTTCTCCTCGCCGACTAGTCTCTTTACTTTCTTAGCAAACTTTGGTTGCTTGCTTGATCTTTTTTTGTGGATTTTGTCTAACCTATGATGAAAATTAACAAAAATTTAGTCCTTGGTCGCTATTACAAGTACAATGTCACGACAGCAATGTTTTCATTAATTTCGTCCTGACGAGAAAATGATGAAAACTGATCACTCATGTAAATACTTATATTCTTACTTGTTTAAAAACATTTTCATCTTTTCGCTTCGGTAAGATGGTGGCCTAGAAATCCACTGATTTGGATCACTGGCATCGTCGTCATCGCTTGACATGTGATCTTTGTTTAGGCTATCAAACGCTTTAACTTCTTTTTCTTTTCCTGGGTCAATGCAGCTTTTTCTTTGAATGTATTTCTAATACAAAAATAGGTGCAATGATTAGTGTTTACAGCGATTACTAAGTCGATAGCATACTGTTTAGGGCATGGGGTTTTTAAAAGGAATTTAAGAGACTTATCATTATTATTATTATACTCTCACTATTAGTCAATTTTGAGTAAAACGCATTTCAAAATACATATTAAACGTCACTGTGTTTGAACGTCTTCACGGCTCGTTTTAACAAAAGTCTTTTCAAATGAACACTGGACTTGGCTTTTTTGCCGGTCCGTGTTTTAAATGCCGACAAATTATATACTGAACTTTCATCAAAACTGCCGCATATTTTGCATTTCTAAACATCTCTTTATGATCTTTGTAGAAGTCAGTCCTTTTCATGTAGCGGCATTTATAAATTAATCTATTGTGTTTACCTAATTAACTAAGAAAGCGCGGCTTTGGCAAACAATGTGGTATCAATTAACGGGGTTAATAATAACTGCAATGCTTACCCTTGACTTTCTGTTTGATATTTTCATTCTAAACTTCTGGTCATCTCCAATCTTCCCCTGTGCTACTCGGCGTATGTGCTGATGAAATTTTTTTGCTGCCCCTAAAACAAGAAAATTACTTTTCAACAAAAAAAAAGTACTCATCAAACCTAATTGTTCAATCAATGCCAGAATAAACATCTAAGCTTTCAATAATTTTGGCGTTCCAGGCTTTCTAATTGTATCTAAAGCGCTTCATTCTACAACGACTRTTTTCAAATGCATTACTTACGCGCCACTTTTATTTCATCAAAGCCCTCTAAACGCAGTTGCTTTACAATGGATTGRGTKACTGTTTTGTTGTGATTACTTAACACACTGAAAAGAACATTTAAGRTCATAAATGTTGAGTAGAAATATTTCTTGTTATAATAGCTCAAGCAGAAGCTTACCTTTCAAGGCCTTTGTACTTCTTGCGGTCTTCTTTTTTTGCGTGGAGATTATGGATCTTTTCCTATAACATAAAACACAAATTTTAACAAAAACCCGCATCTCGCACGTAATGTGATCATGAATTACCGTCATTGATTCAAAGTATAATAAGGTACTACACAATTTAGTCTTCGAGAACACCTAATTTCATTTATCAAGAGTCAGTTGCAAAATCACTCTGATTTACCTGTATTGTTAAGGAATCTTTCGGACGTTTCCTCTTCTTGTCTTTTTCGCCATCATCAGACGTATCAGAGACGCGACTCTCTTCAATTTTGTCAATTCTTTGGGCAAGAGAGTTCAATGCAGAATTTGTTTCTTCGAGTTTTTTCAGGACGGTAGTTAACTGCTCTTGAAACATTGAAATATTTGAGGCCATWGTTGAACTTTGCCTTGAAGAGGTTGGTGTTTCAGGATCAGAAGGATCAGGAGAAAGTGAAGGTTGACGGCTACGGCTACTATTAGGAGTTGAGCTTCGTGGGATGCTTGTTCCCGATCGATTTGAACTGTAAAATCTTGAACCATCCATTGCAGGAATAAAGAGAAGAAATCAATAGATATGCTTAAGGAGTCACCGAGCTGGTCACGGAATAAAGTGCGCGCTCTTTTAACGGACGTCCAGCATGCAAGCACATAATATGCAAATTTTAAATGATGTGCAATTCTGATTCGTGATTGGTCGATAAATGCTAACTAATTCCGGTTTACGAGTTGGCGGGAAAATCAAAGCGTTTACCATTTCTATTGAATTTTCAATWAGCCMAGTCAATCTTTAAAGCCACGGATACACACACAACGTAAAGTYAATGTAASCTAATTATGGCAAGTCAAAATCGAGTATTCTGTCAACACTGTAATACATGGGTTTCAAAAAGAACGGAAAGGGAGCATCGTCRAGCCACATACAGCTCACTGAATAGTAAGTGCGAAATATTAGACATGCTTAACTCAGCGTTAGTACTGAACGGGATAATAATACACGTTATTTCATTCTTTTTAGAATCTGATTCAGATGAAGAGCTAGAATTTGTATTTGAAGACGAGGATTTGTTACGATCGTCAGGTCAATCTCCAGAAAAGAGTGAGTTTGCCTGCATACAAACGCAAGAGTTATCAATAATAGTCTCATTACAGATCAGATTTATAGCGTTTTGTTAAATATAGTCAATATAAAGTGTAGATATATTGCTGCATACGGGGAAAAGTATGATCACTGACATCTTTTTCATGATCGATCTTTTTTTTATATCACAGTTGTATAATTAGAAGCACTGACACATATCACAAGCTATCCTTTTCTTCCTTTAAATAAAACAGACAAGCTAATTTTATTTATAGGAAGGAATGATTTACTTTGCAGGGTTACGGCATGAAATACATCAATACAACGATACCATGMAAGGCGATGGGACGTGTTCAGACTATTTTGAAGAAAGTGGTTTCGATAACATTGGATTTGATGTCGACGATTCCAGTTCTAGCTCCGTAAGAGACTATTTTAAGTTTATGTTGTTTTGTGTTTTCTTCATCAAAAAAATACNTTACGAAGAATTCTATGAATTGCTATTGTGCGGAGAACTTTATGGCTCCAGTAAGTCACGGAACGCAAGATCATCAGTGATATTAGCAAGATGGCATGGTGACGCTGGTCTTGACACGTCAACCTTAGATAGACGACCAGGTAATATTTGCTGTTTGCCTGTTGTTGTTGTGTGTTTTTTTAACTACGTGAAATTACAAAGAGATTAAAAAGTATATGTGTATTATTTAAACTTTTATGCATTTAGTAGAATCAAAATATATCGGCAAGAATTATATACACATTTCACATCTCCCATCTGATCTCATTCTTCTTAGGTGAAATCCAATATTTTTTAAAGCACAAGCTGGTCATGAAGGATGGAAAAACCATAACATATATCCTGGCCTATGTGACGTGGTTCAAGCTCCACCCGCTTGCAAGAAACTACTTTGGCAAACCAATTCAAGTTTGTTATCAAGATTTTGAGCCGCCATCGTCATCTTCCTTCATTCCTGTTGGAAGAATATCCAATCGATGCGCAATTGCAAAAACAAAAAGGAATCTAAAAACAGGAAACGGCAGTGAAAGTATTGCAATAATTGTACCGATCGAGAGGCATTTTCAGATGTAGACATATGTTCCTCAATTTAAAGAAGTATTTAGCTCTATTTAGCATTCCCAAAAACAAGCTTACTTTAAAAGACAAATCACTTCAAGAGTTTATATGTCAGAAGCTATGTAAATGATATTTTACGCTATACATTACTATCTATAAATTTTAACGTCAAAAAATAATCAATAATGATTTTTAATACATTTTTCATATAAATTGGTACATAGATATTTTTGCGATAGTCAGCGTTTCCCAATTGCGAGAGCGCGTCGTTACTCATGCCAAAATCTGAGAAACCCTAGTAAGGGAGGCTCTACAATTCCAAGTTTTTACTTTATAGCATTCTTTCACTATTTTGCGAAGTCGACTTGAATTTGTACATAATAATGCATAAATGCAGTAAACTAAATATCCAAAGGAATAAATGTCACTATAAATAGATTGCTTGTGACTTCCATCAATAACTTCTGGCGCGATGTGTTTGTACTGTTTTTTGTACCTTTCTTGCTCCATTGCGCTCATGCATTTTCTGCACCCATCCTCTCGTTTACAGCTCTTTCCAAAATCAATTAAAACTGGAACAAAAGTGTCGCGCTCTTGTAGATCACAACATTATCCGTTTTAATGTCATTGTGTAGATAGCCACACATGTGAACGTGATTAATTGCTTTGGCTAAATCGTTAATTAAACTGTGCCAATCTCCTTCACTTAACATAGCATTCTCGTGTTGTTTACAAAGCAAATTCAGTGTGATAGACTTTCTTTCAATCTGATACAATTGTAAAATAATTTTGTTTGGCTCTTCATCCAAGCATACTCCAAGAAGGGTGGGGATGCTGTTATGGCTTTTCAAGTTCAAAAGCACTTTCGCTTCTTTTAGGATTGATCGTTTTGTAGCTGCAACTGTTTCTTCGCCAGATTCCTCAAAACACTTTGCAGCTACGATGCTTCCTTTGTAAAGACAAAGCTTGACTGTACCGAAAACACCTGCACCGATTATTTCTTCGCCATTGCCGTCTACATCAAAATGTAAAAGCGAGCTTTTAATGTAAAACGAATCAGGCAGAGAGGAAGGTTTGTTGATTTGATTTTCAAGGGCCTCATCTTTGGCTTCTCGCTCTGCTCTCCATTCCCAATAGTAATTATTGGCTATACGTTCTGCTTTTTTTCGTTTTCTACATTCCTCTTCATAAAGCTCATTTAGTTGGTCAAGTTTCTCTTTCACGTTTTTCTGTTCTTTCAGCCTCTTTCTTATTTCCCGCATCTCTTCTCGCCTTTTTTCTACTGAAGCTTGGAATTTTTTCTTGTGATTCTTTAGTCTTTTCCCAATATAAGTTTTCTTTCGAACCATTTTATTCTGAAAGACAATCAAGTCCATCATTATCATATATAATTTTTTGTATATAAATAATAGTTATACTCTCGCTTAACTTCGGCTAGGCAGAATGAAAACTTTTTTCGAGTTTTCTATGAATTAAATACTATGTATTTAAGAAAGCGAAAAGATCTCAATCTTTCCAGACGCCAAAAAAGAACACAGACTTATGCAATTATGTACGAGCCGTTCTGTGCATCAGACCAAACAGCCGTTCTATACCCGCAGTTTCTACTAATAGTAAAACTTTGAGAATGTAAGGTTATCAGAGGACTTTGGCTTGTTAATGCAGAGAACATTCAGACATGAAAAACGACAAAACCGTGGATCGGATTTAAGATTTTGTGCTTTTAAGTTTTAAAAGACTCTAACCATTTATCATTTTTACCCATAGAAATCATGCCAAAATACAAATAGAACTCTTGTCAGTTATAGTTCGATTACTCTACGTCAAATCTGTTAAAAAAGTTGACAATTTACTCCTTTTTGAGCTGAGAACATAAAGCCACAAGAAAAGCGGTCAATAGTTCATCGACGCCATATTTACACTAACAACACCGAGCACAGAAATCATAGCGATTTATTGTAAATTTTCTCTCAAAACGCTATCATGATCAAAAACAACCTCTGTCCGTTTGACACTAATAGTAAAGCTTTAAGAATGTGAAGCTATCAGAAAAGTTTGGCTTCTTAATGCAGAGAACATTCAGACAATAAGACCGTATCTCAAATGCATGCCGAACTACTACTAACTATTATTCTTTGCATAAAGGATACCTCTACCATTATATCCTTTACACTAATAAAAACTTGCCAAAATAGCGATAAACCTCTTGTCAGTTTTAGTTCGATTACTCTACTTCGAGTCTGCTAAGAAAGTTGATCATTTACTCGTTTATGAGTAGAGAACATAAAGGCATAAAACAGCGGTCTTGACTTAACTTGAAGCTCATCAATTCGCTGGCATTATACGTTTTAACAATAACACAGTTAGCGAACATTGGTTTCTTGTAAATTTTCTTGGATAACACCATCACGATAAAAAAAAAAAACAACCCGTGTCAGTTTTCTACTAATAGTAAAGCTTTAAGAATGTGAAGTTATCAGAGGAGTTTGTTATCTTAATGCAAAGAACATTCAGACACGAAAAACCGCGACAAAACCGTGCCGTTACACAATGAAAAATCTTGCTATTCAACGCATTTAAGTTTACAAATTTTTGATGTATCGCAATTAATTAATGATGGATGTTCATTTAACTTACCTTGCACTACAAATTGTACTCAGAACTCACGAACTCCTAAGTTTCAAACTTTGAACACTTCAGAATTTGACACTCAGCTGACTGCTGTTGATGACGCGTAAGCTGCAAAAGCATAAAACCCTCTTGGGAATAGCTAGAAGGTTTACAAAGTTGTAATACAACTACAAGTAGGTGTAGGCTATGCGATTGTTGAAGTATATTATAATGACTGTGAATAAGCAATGATCAAGTTCAATATCTTCTTTAATATAGTAATTTGGTAATGAGTTCCATTAAGGACATGTCAAGATGACTCTTCGTTAGAGTCAAACTGACATCTTATATATGAGAATGTCAACTCTTTCTTTTAAAGAGTCAAAGTGACCTCTTTTACGAGTAATTTGTCACCCAGGAGAGTCAAGTAACCCGTTTTGTGTATGTATTGAATGTATATTGTGATAAACAATTAAAAAAAATTGGAAAAGGACAAAAACGCTTACATTTGAAATTTTACAGTTACAAAATTTTGGAATCTATTAGTATGGACACGATTGGGGCGAAGATTATTTCCAGATCTTAAAGACATGCCATGACAAGAGGTTACAACTCGATCATTAATTAGAGAGAAAATTGGGTTGTCTGGTTTGACTCTGATGTCCCTA